AATCATTGAATTGAAAAGATACTAACAATCAATTATCCTTTTAGATTTTATTATACTCAACTTAAGGAAATATCTTGCACAGGGTTAGGTTCTAAAGTCAATGCAGGGATCAGTATTAGACTTGTGATTTCTTTGATATAGGGAACTCCCAGCAGGAAGCTTCTTCTGTCAATGCAGGTGGCAGTTTAGAGTCTTAGGGTATTAACTAGAGCAGAGGCATCATATAGCACCAGCAGCTTTATGGGCCAACACTCGCAAGTGCAGCCCAAAGAAGATTAAAATGTAATTGGGAAATTTTTAACAAAATAAATAAAAATACAGTAGAACTTATATAACATTAATATGTGATTTTCTAAGTCAACCTATGGCCTTCAGGGATCCTTATGGATGATTTAGTAACCCTCTGTTTCTGTTTGAGTTTGACTCCATTGGCCTAGATGAGGGGGTGGAGAACCTGCGGCCTCAAGGCCACTTGTAGCCCTCTAGGTCCTCAAGTGTGGCCCTTTGATTGAATCCAAACTCCATGAACAAATCCACTTGATAAAAGGATTTGTTCTGTAAAACTTGGACTTGTAAAACTGGTCCTTGGTTGCACCCAAGGACCTGGAAGGCCACAGGTTTCCCACCCCTGCTAGAGCTGTAACAGGTTAAGTGACTTGCCCAAGATCACACAGCCAGTAGGTGTCAGAGGTACAACTTGAACCCTGGTCTTGCTTACTTTGAGAGTGACTCTCTGTCCTCTGTGCCATAATGCTTCATGTCATGAAAAGTAAAAATCTTGTATAGTCCAAATCCTCCTCTCTTTGAAGCAGGCCTCCAAAGTCAACAGCTCCTGGCACATTGGAACAATGTAGGGAAGGGCAGCCAGATCCATAAACTTTGGCATAAAGATTGGTTCTAAGGGTTAAGTGTGTTGGGCTTGTGTGTAAATGTGTCCTAGGCTTTGGCTGCTGATCCCTACTACTCTCTCCTTTCCTCCTTCCCCCTTTCTTTTGCCCCCCAAAGGGCAAATAAGGGGTCTGCTGTAGGGGAGCAAAAGGACTTGAGAGCACACACATATTTCCCATCTCATGATCTCTTGGGGCATGTGCCCATTGATTGAAATGGCAGTAGAATTGGGGAAATACTTAAATTGTTATTTTTCTGTTAACTGAAAATCTCATTCCCTCTTTGCCCCCATCTCCCCTTACCCCCTTTCTCCTATCCATATGGAAAATAAATGGCAGTCTCGTGTGACTCCACCTTGTACAAAATGTTCTTTGTTGACATATTTCCATTTGAAACTCCCTTCCGTTAATGTACTAATTTCCCTTTTAATAATCTGATAGTCAAAGTTAAGTTAAATGTTTAAATTCTAGAAGGGAGGTGAGATCACTTATGCCTGGTTCTTTGATTTGCTCCTTGTTTAGTTCCAGACCCTTTTACCAGTTCTTATATTTGCAGCTCTTCAATGGACCTTCTAAATGCAAGATCTTTTAGTGACCTTCCCCATCCTGTCCCTTACTCTTCATGCAAAACTTTGTTTTGTGTTTATTTAATGCAGTTGCCAGGAGGTAGCTAGGTGGTTCAGTGGATTGAGCACTGGGCCTGGGGTCAAGAAGACCTGAGTTCGAATTTGACCTTAGACATGTACTAGTTGTGTGACCCTGGACAAGTCATTTAACCTCTGTTTTGCCTTAATCCACTGGAGAAGGAAATGGCAAACCACTCTGGTATCTTTGCCAAGAAAATCCCATGGACAGTATCCATGATGACACAAAGAGTCAGACAAGACTGAACAACAGCAACAAATGTAGTTGCCATGTATTATTGTATAGTATAATTATCAGAGTTTGTTTCTTATTTGCCTGCAAGATCATAAGATTCATGAGATCACATATTGTGTTGTATCCAAACTTTGTTCTTCTTTTAGAACCTAGCATAATAAATGTTTAACAAGTACTTATTGAACCGAATTCAAGGAAATTAATAATTGATAGATTTTTTTTGTTGTTGTTGTTCAGTCACGTCAGATTCTTTGTGACCTCATTTGGGGTTTTCTTGGCAAAGATACTGGAGTGGTTTGCCATTGTCTTCTCCAGCCCATTTTACAGATGAAGAAATTGAGGCAAAAAGGGTTAAGTGATTTGCCCAGGGTCACACAGCTAGTCAGTGTCTGAGGCCAGATTTGAACTCAAGACTCCAGGCCCAGTGCTTTATCTACTGTGCTGCCTAGCTGCCAATTTTTTTTTGTAGTATGTTGCTTTACTTTGATTAGCCAGCATCAGTGTAGAATGTGGTCATAATCTAAACATAGAATATCAGGTTAGAGCTGGAAGAAACCTTAGAAATCATCTAGTCCATCCCCCTCATTTTATAAGTAAGGACACAGAATTTAGCCAGTATGTGTCAGAAGTGGAAATTAAACCCAAGTCATTCGGATTCCAAATCCAGTAATGTTCACTATGCCATGGTTCCTCTCTTTATAACAGAACCATACTATCCTCAGAGACTATTTGGTGGTATTGCCTTATTAGCGAAGCTTCCTTGTAACAATGTACTTTAGGCACTTTCAGCCATCAAACCACTTAGAGTATCAGTTTTCTCTCCTATGGCTCCGTTCACCTGTAATTTTCTTGACAAATGTGCCCCTTCCCAAGCCACCACTGTGCCATCCTGAGGGAAGGGACTCTTTATAGTTGTATCTTCTGTTCTTAACGCAGTAGTTGGCATATAGTATCTTGTTATTTAGTCGTTTTTCAGTTGGGTTCAACTCTTTGTGACCTCATTTGGGGTTTTCTTGGCAAAGATACTGGAGTGGTTTGCCATTTCCTTCTCCAGCTCATTTTATAGGTGAGGAAACTGAGGCAGACAGGATTAAGTAACTTACCCAGGGTCACACAGCTAGTAAGTGTTTGAGGCCAGATTTGAACTCAGGAAGATGAGTCTTCCTGACTCCAGGCTTAGGGCTCTATCCATTGTACCACTTTAGTGAGTGCCTAGTAAGTGCTTTTTCATTCATTCATTGGAAGGGGTTCTAGATAGAATTTCCTTATGCTGGATTCCACTTCATAATGAAAAGTATCAAAGCTGAGTTCCAATTTATTCTAGTTGTTTTTAGGACTAAATTTTGGCATTCAGCTGCTGTTTTGAAGTGAGTAATTTAAGAATCACTACTGTTCATAAAGAACACATTGACTGAGTATATCTAAACTTCTGGGGTTTTAAAGATATTTGGATTATGACTGCTGTTGTGTGCCTCAGTACGTCATCCAGTTTTTACATGTAGGAGTTCAGTTAGTGCCTTACCTGGGATCGGCTCCAAGTGTTTTGTTTTGTTTTGTTTTTTAAATGAAGAATTTTGTTATAAAGGAAAAATCATTTGCTTGGAGGAAAGTAAAAAACGAAAGCTGCGTATGTGAAATCGACCCAGTGTTTTTGTATAGATGTTCCTCTCCTGGTTGAGTTCTTTCTTATTAAAACAAAGAACACTGCCATGGCATGGAGAAAACAAACTTCTGCCTAATATCTCTTATTTATATGTATAACAGTTGGAAGAAATTCCTATCACTTATTTTATCCTCTCAAAAACTTCAAATATTTGCCTAGAAAAGCAGAATGCTTTCAACTTAGGGAATGGTTTTTCTTTTGTATTTGAACAGTAAGGGTTGAGTGTTGCCTCTATTTTTTTGTATGCTCCCTGACTTCAATGACAGCAAAGATTTTGGCAAGGTCATTGTTTATTGGCTGTTGAAGAAACAGAGGAAAGTACAAAGTAGTTTTGATGTTTTGGAAATTTTTTCTTAATTGATTAAACAGAGCAAAATCAATTTTAAGTCAAAGTTATGGGGTAAAAAACCAACAATTAACATGTAAATATGTAGAACAAATTTTAATATCCCTTAAGGTAGGGCTGAAATAAAATTGAAAATATTTGTGTTTTTTGATACTTTTTAATCTTAAATTTTTTTATCTTGATATCTATGTATATATATGGAGAAATATATAGCATACCTATATACATACACACACACACATAAATGTATATGTAGAGAATGAGAGAGAGTGTGAGGGAGAGTGAAGAGAGAGGAAGACAGAGAGCGAGGGGGTAGAGAGGGAGGAAGAGGGGAAGATGGAAGGAGAGAAGGAAGGGGGGAAGAGAAAGAGAAGGAAGGAGAGAGAGAGGGAGGGAGGGAAAGAGAAAGAGGGAAAGAAGAGAGGGAAGAAGAGAGAGAAAGGGAGGGAAAGAAAGGAGAGAGGGAGAGATAGAGGGAGATGGAGAGAGGGAAAGGGAAAGAAAAAGAGAGAGAGAGAGAAAATGAGAATGTCATCCTAAGTTTAACTTAAGAACTGAACCCAACTGATCCAACAGCCCCAGCTTCACTAGCAGCAGGGACTACAGGTGTGTATTACCCACATATGGCTATTTTTTATATTAGGTTAGGGAAGAAAAAGAAGGAAGGATATTTGGCTTATTGGAATAGAGGAATTATTAACTTAATTGTATTAAAGACCAGGTAAACATTCATTCCTGTACTTTTTAAAGAATACATTTTAGGGGGAGTGAATAGACATGTTAGATAATTTAGACTATTGAATGTTGGTAGAATTCGTTGTTTGGAGTATAAGCAATCACTCTTATCTCCATCCCCACAGTATACATTTATTTTCTAGCCTCTAGAACATACTTTTGACCCTAATATGATGCAAATTGCTATTTCTCAATCAAGTATTTAATATTTTTATTCTGTTAAACTTTGCTTCAACATCAATTTCTTTGTTCTAAAACATGTAATTTAAGGAATAGTTTTCCTTGTAAAGTACTGTGTGCTGAGAAAATTATTTTTGATTAATTTAAATTTTAATTATGTGACTTTTGGGGCATAATGTGAGATTATGGGTACCATCTCATTTATAGGAAAGTGAATTTTGTATATAAATTGCCTCAGCTTATATGTGCCAAAATTAATCATTTTTATGTTGAGTCTCTGACACCATTTTGGTTTTCCTGATTCTTTCAGCTCCTTATGAAGCTAGACAACTTGCCCTCCAACAAGAGGGACCCACGTCAGGAAGCCATGGACCCAAGCCCACACGACGGCAGACTTCTCTTATTAGGGTAATTTTTGTTATATAGTTTGATCATCATCATAATTGTAACTCATTTATGCAAATATTTTTCTCACAATATCCCTTGGAAGTAGTTAGTAGGTTATTCCTGCTTAATAGACAAGGAAACAAGTTACCCTTGCTCAAGGTCACATGACTCAGGTCAGTGTCAAGGTCAGTGTCAGAGGGAAATGGGTCAGAGCTCTGGCTCTGAGTCTATTGATTTCCCCATTATATCCTGAACTGTAAAATTGAGAAAGGAGGAAAGCAGTGAAGCTATAGGGTGCAGAAAAGTGACTTTTTAGCTGAATCTTTGCAAATTATTGCAGAGGAGACATGAGACCAAATACCTGACTCTCTTTGAACTTTATCCTGTCATGTAATTGGTTAATCTTTACTTGTTCCTTTGTTTCCCTTGTAAACGTCCCCATGCCTAAGTAGACACATACACTTTTCAATTTAGATTCTACTGTTTTACTCTAGCTAAACTGAACTCCCAACCATGCCAAGCTCTTTCCTGGCTCCAAGCCCATACTTAGACCATCTTCCTCATTGAGAATGCCCTTCTTCCCCTTTGCCTATCCAATGCCTATCAGTCAGTCTTGACCCAGATCCAGTCTCTTTTCTCCCTTGAATCCTTCTCCCATCCCTCCAGCCCACATGTATCTTCTTTAGTACTTTGTGACATATAAAAAATTCAAGAGACATAGTTTATGAGTAATTAATAGTTTTATTAATTATTGCTAAAGGATAATTAATAAAAGGTGTCAATGGCACTCTTGAATGCCAAAGACCCCTCATGGAACCCACTGCTTATATGCCCTTGGAAGAATGAGTGTTTCTGAGGGTGCAATCAACTCCGGTTAATAATTAATGAGAATGAATATTACAATGAGAGATGGGTTTATTCTGATGAGGGGCTGGGAGATGTGACTTTGATCACTTAGTCTTGGACGAAGAGACTTATCTCTTATTGAATCACCTGCCTAGGACAATCTAGACAAAATGGGGTTCATCTCTACTTAGGCTTGTCCTACTAAAATACAATGGGCCAGATTTCACTAGACTAGAATCTTTTTGTAAGGTTTTTCTTGGGTGGGGCAACAACGTCAACTAGGTAAAATGGCCTAGATGAGGAAAATTATGGGGCAAGGTCAGACATCTCCCCAATAATTTATTAGCTTACTCTCTGTACCTTTCCTTTCACACTTATGTCTTGCATTGCATTGGTACTTAATTGTTTTATGGCTATCCCTTGTTCCCCCAAGTAGACTTTCAAGCTTCTATAAGGTAGAGATTCTTAAATTTTAACATTTCCTTCATTGCTTAGCCCTGCAGTGCCTGGCTCACAGTAGGCACTTGTTGGCTTGACTTGAAATATAGTATGTACTTCAATACTTTGGACTATGTCACTCTCCTGCTTAAGCATCTTCAGAAGCTCCCTATTGCCTCCTAGAATAAAATACAAATTCCTCAGCTTGACATAGCAGGCTCCAACCTACTTTTCCATGGGATACCGTTATGTTTTTAGTTATCTAGATTCACCTCCTCAGTTCCTCACTTTTATTTACCTAACATATTGTCTCTGTTGCAAATGTTCACTTCTGTTCCCTCATACAGCCACCATGTAATTCAGGCCCTTAGTTTCTCTTGCCTGAAGTATCATGGTAGCTTCCTAATCTGTCTCCTTTCTTCAAATCTCTCCCTTCTCCAATCAATCCTTGACACAGCTGCCAAATTCATTTTCCTAAAACACAAATGCTGGGAAAAACATTAATTTAGAAAGGCCAAGGTCATTCACCACATCCCAGGACATTGCCAGTTGTCTTGACTTTTGTCTTATTGCCAGGCTTCAATGACTTTGGAGGAGAGCTGATGACTTTGCTCAGCTCTGCCTCACTTAAATCCAATTCAAGAGCAAATCAAGACTTCACTCTTGTGATGTCATTGGTCCTTTTTGAGAATGAAGGATGAACAATAACAACAGTATGTTACTTCTCTCCTCAATAAATTCTAGTGGCTTTCTATTACATGCAGGATCAAAAATAAAATTCTCTGGCATTTAAAATCCTTCACAACATGTCCTCGTCTTACCTTTCCAGTCTTATTGCACATGACTTCCTTCCATACATACTGTGGTCCAGCTAAACTGGTCTGACTGTTCCCAGAACCTGCACTATGCTCTCTCCTTACCTGTTTCTTAGAATCCCTTGCTTCCTTCCAGACTCAGCTCAAGCATTTCCTTCTACACAAGGCCTTTGCTGATCCTTTTAGTTGCCAGTGTCCTCTCCTCAAAATCACCTTGTATTTATTTATATATGTACATACTATATCCCCTGGCTAGACTGTAAGCTTGCCAAGAACAAGGACAGTTTTTACTTTTTGTCTTTTTAAACTTAGCACGTAGCATCATGCCTGACATACAGTATGTGCTTGACAAATAAATGCTTGTTGTTTGATTGTTTCTCATTACTCCCCTCCATGAACATTTCTGGTTCCTTGAACTTAGCTTTCTATCTCCCATCTCGGTACTTTTCTGCAGCCTTTCAGTTCCACTCTATCCTCCCTTTCACCTCTTAGAATTTTTAGCTTCCTTCATGACTCTATTCATTCCTTTTTTTTTTTAATTCAGCTATATTTTATTTGCAGGTCTGAATTCTCTCCCTTTAACCCCCTCTCCACTTGAGAAAGCAAGAAAAATAAAACCTTTTACAAACATAAAAAGTTAAGCAAAACAAATTCCTGCATTGGCCATATCAAAAAAAAGAAAAAGCCACAATCTGTGCTCTGGATCCATCGCCTCTCTTATCGTCTTAAAACAGGCCAGATTGCCTGTTTTATCATGAGTCCTCTGGAATTGGTCATTGTGTTGATTAGAATTCCCAAGTCTTTCAAAGTTGTTTGTCTTTACAATATTATTGTAATTGTATGGCTCATTCTTTTGGTTCTGTTCGCTTCACTTTGTATTAGTTCATACAAGTCTTTCTATGTTTCTCTGAAACTTTCTCCTTCATCATTTCTTACAGCACAACAGTATTCCATTATATTTATATACCATAACTTGTTTAGCCATTACCCAATTGATGGGCACTCCCTCAGTTTTCAATTCTTTTTTTTTTAAATAATTTATTTTTAGTTTTCAACACTCACTTCCATAAGATTTTTAAGAGTTTAAAATTTTCTCCCCTCTCTCTCATTCCCCCTCCCCAAGACGACAAGTAATCTGATATAGGCTCTACTTATACATTCATAGTATCCAATTCTTTATGACCACAAAAAACACTGCTATAAATATTTATGTACATATGGATAATTTTTCTCTTTCTTTGATCTCTTTGAGGTATCAGTAGTGGTATCACTGGGTCAAAAGGTATGTCTAGTTTAATAGCTTTTTGAGTATAACTCCAAATTACTTTCCAGAATGGCTGGACCACTGTATAGTTCCATCAACAGTATATACCTGTTTTCGCACAGCCCCTCCAGCATTTGTCATTTTCCTTTTTTTTTTGTCAACTTTGCCAATCTGATGGGTGTGAAACAACCTAAAAGTTGTTTTAATTTCCATTTCTCTAATTCTTAGCCATTTAAAACTTTTTTTTTTTTAAATGGCTGTTAAGAATTCTTCCTTTGAAAAGTGCCTCTTTATATCCTTTGACCATTCATCCATTGGGGTATAATACAATTCAGATGTCCCTAAAAAAACAAACAAAAAACAACCCTTTCCTGATCCCTCTAGTCATTAGTGTACTTTTGATCCTTAAATTATTTTATATTTACTTACATTTTTACATGGAACATATACTATGTTAAAAGTTAAGATCCTTAAGGGCAGGGCTTGGTTTTTTTATTTTTGTCTTTATGTTCTTAATAGCTAGCACAGTGCTTGGCATATTGTAGGTACTTAATAATTGCTAGTTGAATTGGTATGATCTCATCAATATGGGCATACTTGCTACTAGTGCAACCCATCTATGTCTCATCCTGAGTGATTCTTGTCTGTATCTTAGTGCACTTGAGGCCTTCTAATAGGTCTTTTTATATTTCATGTATGTGGTTCATTTCTTCTGGTAGGCTATCAACTTGCTGATCACTGATTCAGTATTTCACACCTAACGTACTAACAAATGAAGAGACATCTTGGTGTAGAGGAAAGAGAGGTGGACATGGAATCAAGAAGATCTGAGTTTGAATCTTACCTTAGACACTATTTGACTCTGGGCAAGTCATTTAACCCTGTTTCCCTTCAGTTTCCTCATATATAACATGGGGATAATCATAGTACATACTTCACAGGTCTATGAGAGAAGAAAAACCAAGATAATATATGTAGAGTGTTTTGCAAATCTTAAAGCGCTATATAAATGTTAGATATTAATTCTTGCTGCTGGTCTGTTAGAGTGATTGTTAGTACCCTTTACCCTTTTCTGTCACTCCACCAATATTAAGGAAGCATTAGGGAGCCACACAGAATGAGTGTCGTTTTGTGTTTTTATCTGTTTTGTGGTTTACAGTGACCAAAGCAAAGAATTCATTTCCTAATGTTCCTACTGTTAATAATGAACCTCTTCACACTAGGCTGATTCTCTGACTGCTTTCAGAGTCTGTTGTGGAGATGGTGGTTGGAACCTCTCCAATTTAGCAGAACTTGCTAGAACTCTTTTCATCTCCTTGGCATAACCAAGTCTGTGTGCTTTCCACTGTACTGCTTTGTTGTTACTACCCAGGGGGAATAGATCTTACCTTGTTCTGACTCAATTTAAATACAGACGGGAGAGCATGTTAGTTTTCATTTAGGATGTTCTGGACTCACAGCGGTAGTACTGAATATGGGGGTTGAAAAATAGAGAAAGAGAGAGAGAGAGACAGACAGAGAGAAAGAGAGAGAGAGGAGAACTAGTTCAATTCTATTCTTTAAGGTAGTGTTGACCCACAGGTTATTAATGTCCTAAAAGATATTTGGTAGTGATCACCTCCTCAAATTTGTGTCATTCTTCCCATGACCTGGATCTT